CAGCAGTTGGATATAGTGGCTATACATATAAGGTATGCCACTCAGATTATGAACCAACCTGGAACTGAATGGGTTAAAACATAATAATAATAATAATAATAATAATAATAATAATAATAATAATAATAATAACAGTTATTTGTGATTAATTTCTATCTGTTTGGTAAATAAAGACAATTATAATTGCTGTCAAAAAGCCATGCAAACAAACCTATGGTGTTGAAGATACATTGAGGCTCCTTTATCTTCAATTGTTCGATTGCTCAAGAGGGGATAGAGTTAGAGACATGAGCCGGTTGGAGAGGACAAAAATAGTGTAAGAGGTCAAGCCACAATAAAACAGCTTTAGCCCCTTCAGCCGGCTGCAGGCTATCAAAGCTGCATTTATATGAACAAAAAACCAATGGGCATTAATTGTAACAAAAGATACAAAAAAGACTGAAATATAAGTCATGGCTATTGAAATTATCAAGTAATACAGCAAGAGCCATGAATTTTTTTGTTGTATGTGCTGCTGCATTAGCTTTTGCTAGTGTCATAGATGCTGATATCGTAATAAGTAAGCTAGTCTTGTTAATTGGTATAACACAATTATTTTTGTGACAGAATCCTCTTCTGAAATAAACAACACTGAAGTAAAAGATATTTATATTCAAATATTGCGTGGCAGAGATGGTCGTGATGGTCTCACAGGAAGGGATGGTCAGAAAGGAGAGAGGGGAGACAAAGGAATAAAAGGTGAGAGTGGACCTGTAGGACCAGCAGGACCAAAAAGTGGAGGAGTAGTATACACACGCTGGGGAAGGACATCATGTCCAACTGACACTGGAGCTGAACTATTATATGAAGGAATAGCAGGAGGAAGTAAATGGGACCAACCAGGAGGAGGTGCCAATTATATCTGTTTACCAAAGGTTCCACACTATGTCAGTACCCACATACCTAGTCTGGATGGCTCCTATATGTATGGTTCAGAATATCGCAGTGTTAATGGTATATTCCCAGGAAAGAATTATCACAATGTTCCTTGTGCAGTGTGCTACACAGCTAAGAAGAGTGTGAAGCTAATGATCCCTGGAAGAATTACTTGTCCCTCGACATGGACTATAGAATATAAAGGATACCTCATGGCCGAGCGATACAATCATGCAAGGAATACAGTATACGAGTGTGTCGATGAGAATGTGGAGTCCCTTGCTGGTAGTGATGACACTAGCAATGAAGTAACTGTGCTGTATTTTATACACTCCACATGTAATGGGCTACCCTGTCCACCTTATGTCGACAAGAGAGTGCTCACATGTGTTGTTTGTACTAAATAACATAATACTTTTTTGTGAAAATACTTGAATTGGTCTAACACCAAATAACAAGTTAAAAGCTAGTATTTTTATAAGCTATAGCTGTCTCCTTGAAGCTGTTCTTCTCTTCCTCCTCTGACCACTCTGCTATGTCTACCAAGCGTATTTGCTGGTTACCTAGAAGCCTATAGATCTACATTACTGTACCAATCATTGATTATCACAAAAGTCATCTTGCATCACTTCCAATAGATTTACCCTTTCATAATAAAAATACAATTAATATACAGTAAACAAAAAGTAATGGAAAATAGAAAGACGTGAATATAAGTTAAAGAAAAACAGTATGCATCATCAATGTTACTTCATGTTATTTCTAACACTGCCATTGCAGCTCCATATGGTGCATCCACATTGCTTCTTAGCTCTAGTGGATAACCAAACCCTTCAACTATCAGCTGAGCTAATACCGGATTCTTATCTAAGCAAGAACCAGACCCAATTAGCGTATCTACCTGTATAATGATACAAAAAGTAAATTATTGTTGCTATTAAAATTGATTCATGAAAAATAAAACTATAGCCCAGAAATCTATAATAAAGTATGTTAAAGATACAAGTTCCAACACTAATAAACAAAATGCTGTAGACACTATAAACTTACCTTAAACTGTTGCAATAAAGCCAAAGGCATCATTTCCTTAAGGTTGTCAACAATACCTCTCATAACAGCAGAGGATACATCACCAACACTAATATTATCACTGGATATATTAGAAACTGATCCTCTTAAGGTTGGAGCATGTCTCTCACCAAGTATTAAAGGAGATACTTGTAATGATGTGTTTCTTTTTTCACTTGCTGATTTGATAAGAAATGAATAGATACTATCAGTATCTACTGCAGAGTCAGGAATGTGAATTCTGTAATAAATAATAATAATAATAATAATAATAATAATAATAATAATAATAATAATAATAATAATAATAATAATAATAATAATAATAATAATAATAATAATAACAACAACATAAACTCATCCATGTGATGTGGTGTAGAACAGACATTGTGCTGATTTAAATGATTCTGATTTTTGATTAAAATTATTTGTTTAATTTTAAAGAATTTTACATGGTCTTGGGCCAAATTTTGCCAAAATTGAAAAGGAGAAATTCTCCACTTTTATAATTTTTTTCTGATACACATACATGTACTGTTGCATAGAAAGTTTGAGGTGCTTCCGATTAAAATTGGATTTCTCATACAATTTTGAAGATGCTTCAAAGCCATGCAGGCCAAATTTTAAGAAAAACATAAAGATTACCCTTTGAGAAATTCCTTTAGGAAGTCAACCAGCCTAGCAACGACATTACCACCAGTCAAAGCAGCAGCCACTAACAATGTCTTATTATTGAAATACGGTACTTCCATTATAGAAGAGGGCAATGAACCATCAAATGAAATACAATTATTGATGACAGACAGTTGACTTGATGTGCCAATACTTAGTACTAAAACAGAAATAATTATTATACTTCAACTAGTAAATTTGACTATTTACTCGCATTAGTTGGTAATGGTTTCACTGCAGATACTGAACACTGTAAGTCTCCCATGGCCACAGCCACAAGTACACCAGGAGGAACCCCACACCATTCACTAACTAATGATCCAACGATTGATGGAGCTGATACAACTCTTGGAAGCAAATGAACAGGAAATGAACCTTCTTTGAGACTAAAACATGAAGCATTTAAAAATCATGAAAGTAGCAATGTGTTATAACTCCAAAATTTAGTAATAAATTATACTTGAGAATACAAATATCAATTTTTAATAACACAAGCCAGTATATGCTTTGTCATATAATAATTTAGCCACATAATATTATAGCACTCACATGTCATATTCCCAGGTATTATTCTTTACATCAAAGTATCCCCAGCTATTAGCATTCTGTGATGACATGATGACCTCAGTGCTACCACAGAGCACAGAAACAAAACAATCCATTATAGTACCAGTTCTATCATACAAACTGAGAGTACTCTCTGCATCAGAGGCTCTTGAATACCAGAACAATGTAGCACAACCGTAACCAGTGCTGAGAGGAATAGACTGATTAGTTTTGGGCAGCGTCGAGAGAAAATTTTTGCTACATCGACCATCTTGCCAAGTAACTAATGAGGAAACAGAGTCTTTCTGGGTAACAATTATGCGGCCATTTTCTAATTTTATACCACCGTTTCTCCATAAAATGACCCCATGCATCTGTCCTGATATACCGATACCCTTTACTCTTTTAAGATTATGAGAAGAGAAGCGAGACATTAATAGCTCCATTGCTTTCACAATTGACAAAACATTTTGTTCATCTTTTTCCACATCTCTTCCACTGCTCTGGGATGAAATTTGAGCTAGAGTCGGCTCTGATTGTTTCTCGACCACCTCACGACTCTCTTTATCGACTAATGTCCCTTTAACTGTGCTAGTACCAACATCAATACCCAATATTAGCTCACTGACAGCCATTTAATGTTGGATGTGTTTTGCGTGGGCGTTGAATCCAATTAAGGGTGTGGCTGCATTAGAAAAATATAGCAAGCTATGGCTGTCAACAGTGCAATAGTTCTCTTCATTGCTGCGACTGTAACGATAGCCCAAGCTGCCGGTGGACCAAAAAATGTACTCTTTATGCCAGTTGATGATCTGAGGCCTGAATTGCTGGAAGCATATGATCAGAAGCATATCATTACTCCAAACCTGGACAGGTTGGCCAAAGAGAGTCTTGTCTTCCAAAGAGCTTACTGTCAGCATGCTTTGTGTATTCCCTCGAGGAACAGTTTCATGACTGGAAGGAGACCAGATACAACTCACGTTTGGGCAGGATTAGGAAATGCTAACTTCAGAGTTACAGGCCCAGACTGGATATCACTTCCAGAGCACTTTAAGAACAGTGGGTACACTACACTAGGAGGAGGAAAGACATACCATCCCAATAGCCCTCCTAACTGGGATGAGCCAAAATCCTGGTCACAAGATCAGCCCTATTTTCCATTTGCACTTGTAAAGTGTCCTAATACTACAACAACACAGAATGAGAGAGTTGGGGGCAATGTTGCTCCTATTGATACCTGGTGCCCATTGGATGAAAAGGAATATCCAGACACTTTTCATTATGATTGGAAACTTGCAAACCACACAATATACACTTTAAAATATGTGAAGGATAAAGGAGGCCCTTGGTTTGTTGCTGCCGGTTTTAGACGACCACATGATCCATGGATGATGCCAAAGCGCTTCTGGGACATGTATAGCAGTGATGATATACCAACTGTTCTTCACAGGAACAGACCTGTTGGCTCACCAGATATTGCATTCCACAATCAAGGAATTATAGACTATTCCAATGACACAGAGTATCTACCAATGCCAAATCCAATTCCGGTTGAGATACAGCAAAAAGTACGCCATGGATATTTTGCATCAGTTTCATGGGTTGACTCACAGATTGGTCGGGTATTACAAGCTCTTGATGACATGTCATTAGCAGATGATACATTAGTGGTACTCTTTGGTGATCATGGATATCAGTTGGGAGAACATGATTCCTGGCATAAAATGACTAACTGGGAGCTTGCTGTTCGAGTGCCATTAATCATAAGAGCACCATGGAACCAGCTAGTGCTGGTAAGAGGAGTCATGCATTTGTTGAGCTAGTTGATCTGTACAGAACAATATCA